TGGGACCTACCTAGTAACTTGGTGATGAGGGTGTGGGTGGTGTGTGAGGGTGGGACCTACCTAGTAACTTGGTGATGAGGGTGTGGGTGGTGTGTGAGGGTGGGACCTACCTAGTAACTTGGTGATGAGGATGTGGGTGGTGTGTGAGGGTGGGACCTACCTAGTAACTTGGTGATGAGGGTCTGGGTGGAGGTGGAGAGGGAGGCACAGCTTGGCATCTTAGACAGCCAGTCTTCCCAGGTGACAGCTGCTTGAGAGTTCACTCCGGACGAGATGGTGCTGACCAGGTGAAGGGCAACTCGTTATTTTCACTATACTATTTATCCATCTCTTTGTTTATATCAATTAATTTATTTCTCTGTCTACACATCTGTTTGACTGTCAGTCTTTATCTATGAACATTATCCAGTTGTGGCACATTGTGTCAATATCCAGCAGGGCCTCAGGCAGGCAGAGAAGAATATACTTATGAAAATGAGGCCATACCTCAGCGCCCCGGAAAATATGCAGGATATGAAGAGTCCTGCCAGGCCAGGGACGGAACTGAAGCGATCCATGACGTAGTACGGCAGAATCTGGTCCTTAGAGTGGATCAGCCCGGCCTTCAGAGGGTCGCAGTCCTCGTAGGTCGCGAACACCACCAGACCTGCAGTCAAACACCCAGAGGCAGGTGATACATTGATCAACAGGGAGTGTGAGACTGTGCATTAACTATTAATGAATGGTCGTGGGCCTTACTGGAGCATATATTGGATGGTCGTGGGGCCTACTGGAGCATATATTGGAGAGCCGTGGGCCTTACTGGAGCATATACTTGAGTAACTATAGGGTCGTGGGGCCTACTGGAGCATATATTGGTGAGTCGTGGGCCCTACTGGAGCATATACTAGAGTAACTAAAGGGTCGTAGATCATACTGGAGCATATATTAGAGTAACTAGAGGGTCGTGGGGCCTACTTGAGCATATATTGGAGAGTCGTGGGCCTTACTGGAGCATATACTTGAGAACTAGAGGGTTGTGGGGCCTACTGGAGCATATACTAGAGTAACTAAAGGTTCGTGGATCATACTGCAGCATATATTAGAGTGACCAGAGGGTCGTGGGTCATAGTGGAGCATATACTAGAGTAACTAGAGGGTCGTGGGTCATACTGGAACATATACTAGAGAAACTAGAGGGTCATGGGGCCTACTGGAGCATATACTAGAGTAACTAGAGGGTCGTGGGTCATACTGGAACATATACTAGAGTAACTAGAGGGTCATGGGGCCTACTGGAGCATATACTAAGAAGTAACTAGAGGGTCATTAGGGGCCTATTGGAGCATATACTAGAGTAACTAGAGGGTCGTGGGTCATACTGGAACATATACTAGAGTAACTAGAGGGTCATGGGGCCTACTGGAGCATATACTAGAGTAACTAGAGGGTCGTGGGGCCTACTTGAGCATATATTGGAGAGTCGTGGGCCTTACTGGAGCATATACTTGAGAACTAGAGGGTCATGGGGCCTACTGGAGCATATACTAGAGTAACTAAAGGGTCGTGGATCATACTGCAGCATATATTAGAGTGACCAGAGGGTCGTGGGTCACAGTGGAGCATATACTAGAGTAACTAGAGGGTCGTGGGTCATACTGGAACATATACTAGAGTAACTAGAGGGTCATGGGGCCTACTGGAGCATATACTAGAGTAACTAGAGGGTCGTGGGTCATACTGGAACATATACTAGAGTAACTAGAGGGTCATGGGGCCTACTGGAGCATATACTAGAGTAACTAGAGGGTCGTGGGGAGGGCCTATTGGGTATGCTCTTGAGCCGCTGGGGTCGTGGGTCATACTGGAGACACCACTAGAGTAACTAGAAACATGGGTCTTACTGGAGCATATACTAGAGTAACTAGTGGGTCGTGGGTCCTACTGAAGCATATATTAGAGTAACTAAAGGGTCGTTGGTCTTACTGGAGCATATACTAGAGTAACTAGTGGGTCGTGGGTCATACTGGAGCATATACTAGAGTAACTAGTAAGTCTTGGGTCCTACTAGAGCATATACTTGAGTAACTAGACGGTCGTGGGTCATACTGGAGCATATACTAGAGTAACTAGTGGGTCGTGGGTCATACAGGAGCATATACTAGAGTAACTAAAGGGTCGTGGGTCATACTGGAGCATATACTAGGTAGCTGAAGATTCGGTCATACTGGAACATATACTAGAGAAACTAGGGGTGGTGGGCCTACGGGCATATTCTAGAGTAGCTAGAGGTCGTGGGTCATATAGACATATACTAGAGTAACTAGAGGTCGTGGGTCACTTTGGAACATATACTAGAGTAACTAGGGTCGTGGGGCCTGGAGCATATACTAGAGTAACCTAGAGGGTCGTGGGTCCTACTGGAACACATACTAGAGTAACTAGAGGGTCGTGGGTCATACTGGAACATATACTAGAGTAACTAGAGGGTCGTGGGGCCTACTGGAGCATATACTAGAGTAACTAGAGGGTCGTGGGTCATATCGGAATATATACTAGAGTATCTAGAAGGTCGGGGGTCATACTGGAACATATACTAGAGTAACTAGAGGGTCGTGGGGCCTACTGGAGCATATACTAGAGTAACTAGAGGGTCGTGGGTCATACTGGAACATATACTAGAGTAACTAGAGGGTCGTGGGGGCCTACTGGGCATATACTAGAGTAACTAGAGGGTCGTGGGTCATACCGGAATATATACTAGAGTATCTAGAAGGTCGTGGGTCTTACTGGAGCATATACTAGAGTAACTAGAGGGTCGTGGGTCCTACTGGAACACATACTAGAGTAACTAGAGGGTCGTGGGTCATACTGGAACATATACTAGAGTAACTAGAGGTTCGTGGGTCATACTGGAATATATACAAGCGTAACTTGAGGGTCGTGGGTCCTACTGGAACATATACTAGAGTAACTAGAGGGTCGTGGGTCCTACCGGAGCATATACTAGAGTAACTAGACTGTCGTGGGTCATACTGGAAAATATACTAGAGTAACTAGAGTGTCGTGGGTCCTACTGGAGCATATACTAGAGCAGGGGTTCTCAGCCAGAGTTCAGGTTTTCAGGAGAGCAGTTCAGAGACAAGAGATATGTTCGATGAGAAATCAATCACAGAATTTTGGCCCTTGATGTGCGATTCCTACCCAAAAGTGGCAGAAAGAGCTATCCGTGCATTGCTTCCGTTTGTGCCGACATATCTTTGTGAGTCAGGCTTTTCAACTCTGTTGCAAATTAAAACGAAGCACCGTAGTAGATTAGAGGTAGAAAATGACCTGCGTTGTGCCCTTTCAAGCACTCCTCCGCGTATCCCAGAATTGGCGAAGAAAAAACAATCACAGGTTTCTCATTGACTGTAATCTTCATCTGAATAAAATTAATTACAAATTTACAATATCCTGGTATTCTATTGAACTTTTTGTTTATTGCATTATGCTTCAGTTTGGTCTGTTAAGTAATTCATTATAAATATAAAAAAACTATTTTACTTTTATTCAAGTTTTATAAATCCATCAACATTTTCAATTGGGATTTAATTTGTAAAACTCCACTATAAAAATAATCCATGTAAAATTGTAAATGTATATGTACTAATATGGAAAAATAAAGGATTTTCAGTATTATATGCATATTATTTGGAATGCACTTCTTGAGGCAGACAATCTTGGAAAGGAGGGGGGAATGACATTCTGACATATGGTGAAAGGGGTGCATGGGGCAAACAAGGTTCAGAACCACTCTACTAGAGTAACTAGAGGGTCGTGCGTCCTACTGGAGCATATACTAGAGTACCTAGAGGGTCGTGGGTCATACTGGAACATATACTAGAGTAACTAAAGGGTCGTGGGTCCTACTGGAACATACACTAGAGTAACTAATGGGTCGTGAGTCCTACTGGAGCATATACTAGAGCAACTAAAGAGTCGTGGGTCATACTGAAACATATACTACAGTAACTAGAGTGTCGTGGGTCATACTGGAGCATATACTAGAGCAACTAAAGTGTCGTGGGTCATGCTGGAGCATATACTAGAGTAACTAGTGGGTCGTGGGTCCTTCAGCATATTCACTGGTTGATAAAAACTTATTATAATAAAATGTTTACAATAACTAACATCCTCTTCACTCTACGGTCAGCTGAAGGGACGCCATCGGCTGTTGAAACTTATTGGTATAGAAGCACTGTAGGTGTATGTAACTAGTCCAGTGTACATCAGTGGATCACATCCTCAGTGCACCATTGAAATCACATTGTACAGAACATTAACCCTGACCTGTGACCTTCACCTTTGACCTCTTACTTACAGCAGTAAATTCTCCTCGGCCTTCAACTAACCCACGAGTCAATATTTTGCTTAAGATTAGTAATTCCTGTTTTAGCTAGTTTGTTGACACTCTCAGGTGAGCATGACACTACAGAGGGTCAAGACAAAAGCCAGTTCTTACCAGTGAGGGTCAACAGGACAGCGTCGGCGGCGAAGTATGGGACGAGGAGCAACACTGACCTGAAGAGAGAGTCATAGTAACCATTGTGGTACACCTGACACCTTTGTTACTCTCCCTCCTTGCTTCCTTTACACTCTCGTAAACAATCATGTCCCTATCTGTAAACGCACATGCACACCTGTACGCAAGTGGAAACACACACACACCCACGCAGTACTCACAGGTAGGCGTGGGTGAGGCTCTTCATGCTGGAGTACCGCTGGATGGCCGTCTGGGAGCTGCCGTATTTCACAATGCTGCTGAAGAAGCCGAACCACGACAGACCCCACACGGTGTGTCGCTCAAATATGTCCGGACTCCAGCTGACCAATACAACAATTCAGTGTAATACAACACAGTAGATAATAATGGAACAAAAAAACAAACAAATAATACATTATGTTACGGTAACATAAAACCATTAAATTTTCTATTGTCTTAGCTGGCCTCTTGTTAATCAAGCTTAATAATCGGCCTTTTTTATAACAACATACGGATTCTTGAACAATACAAAGAAGGTAAATTAGATACACAATTATCGCCGGAACCTTGAAACTTTGTAGCTTATTGTTTGTGTCTGATGAACTTACTTGAAAATCTGTAGTCCTGCACGCTTATGTTTGACGTTAATGTCCCATACTTTCTGCAGGCTGCCCACCTCTTTCACTCCCATGATGACGATGGTCATGAGGCCTCCCAGCACGATCACAAACTGTAGGGCGTCGGTCCACACCACCGCCTTCAGGCCTCCCTGCAGTGTCGACACCTTCACTTAGAATATTTAGTTATAGGCATCGTGAGTGTAAACCCTTATGGTGTTAGCGCCGCCAGGAGCCCCGATAATGAGTGAAGTAGAGACGTTATATCGAGTCCAGATAATACTTGACGTGTAAACACCACACTCCCATAACCAAATGGAATTTCAAGTTCCACTTGAAGTTCAAACTTCACTTAAGATTTCTCGTCCACCTGGAATTTAATGGGGAAGACAATTTTTGAATCCAAATTATCAACTGAAATCTTGGCACCAGAAAATAATGTTGAATTTTCCAAGAGTTCTTTCCTGTGAGGGAATGAATGCCTTCAACTGTGCTGAAGACGTGACATTAAAGTGAGGTCGTTGTGTCCCACAGATAACTAATATACTGAAGTACTACGTCACACACAGGCTGGTAGACTTAAGGAAGTTTGTCCCAGCATAAGAGGTGGAAGTGAGAGCTATGCTGAACAAGACGATCAAGAATACTGGGGGGATCCTACAGAGGCCACTAAGCCTTCCTTCCCCGACGTGGCCATGGAATTCTCTAATTATGTATATATTTGTGTAATCAATACTCACGATGGTAGTGTAGAAGGAGGCGATAGCGCCCACGACAAGGATGGCGAGCCACATGGGGAAGTCGGTGACGGCAGCGAGGGCGAGAGCCGGGGCGTAGATGACGATGGCCTGGTAGAGAAGCGTCTGCGTGATGAAGAGGGCGCTGGCGACACGACGCGTTGTCACAGAGTTGAACCGCATCTCCAGGTACTGTGTGAGTCATGACCGTACAAGTTAGTGTGACAAGTGTTGACAACTGTCTGCCTAGCAGTTGTACTTTATTACTATCTGTAAGTTGACAGTCTTAAAACGTGAACTTCTCTCGTTTTAGATTGCCTGGGTGACGTTATTCCGGTAACAGAACATTTGGGGACACTGCCGTAGGGAGGTTTGGGAAGGAAGATGGTGAATGGTATTAATGTTAACTTGCTGCATACAAATATAACTTGTATTTTTTCCTCTCCCTAAGGGTAAGTTAGATCACATACCTGGTAAGCGGAAACAATTTTTAGTTCGTAGTAGAAGGGAACGAAGACGGCGGCGGCAATGGGTATTGCCAGGATGCTAGATTTGGTAAGGACAGGTTGCATACTGTGGTAGAAGGTCTCAGCGGGGAAGCCTGTAACCAAGGTATGAGGTGAGTGTGGTGATCCTGGTGACCTATGTTACGTCCTGGATCACCTTCAGTAACCCTCCCATGTCCTGCATCATCTTCAGTAACCCTCCCATGTCCTACATTATCTTCACTAGCCCTCCTATGTCGTACATTACCTTCAGTAACTCTTCCATATCCTCACGTTATCTTCAGTAATCCTTCCATGTCCTGCATCATATTCATTAACCCTCCCATGTCCTACGTTATCTCCAGTAACCCTCCCATGTCCTACAATATCTTCAGTAACCCTCCCATGTCCTACATTATCATCCGTAACCCTTCCATGTCCTACATTGACTTCAGTGACCCCCCATGTCCTACATTACCTTCAGTAACCCTCCCATGTCCTACATTAACTCCAGTGACTCTCCCATGTCCTACATTATCTTCAGTAACCCTCCCATGTCCTACAATATCTTCAGTAACCCTTCCATGTCCTACATTACCTTCAGTAACCCTCCCATGTCCTACATTAACTTCAGTGACTCTCCCATGTCCTACATTATCTTCAGTAACCCTCCCATGTCCTACAATATCTTCAGTAACCTCCCATGTCCATTACCTTCAACAGCCCTCCATGTCCTAACCCTACCATGTCCTACATTATCTACAGTAGCCCTCCATGTCCTACATTATCTTCCATAACCCTCCATGTCCTACATTATCTTCAGTAACCCTTCCATGTCCTACATTACCTTCAGTAACCCTCCCATGTCCTACATTATCTTCAGTAACCCTCCCATGTCCTACATTATCTTCAGTAACCCTTCCATGTCCTACATTACCTTCAGTAACCCTCCCATGTCCTACATTATCTTCAGTAACCCTCCCATGTCCTACATTATCTTCACTAACCCTTCCATGTCCTACATTATCTACAGTAGCCCTCCCATGTCCTACATTATCTTCACTAACCCTCCCATGTCCTACATTATCTTCAGTAACCCTCCCATGTCCTCCATTATCTTCAGTAACCCTCCCATGTCCTCCATTATCTTCAGTAACCCTCCCATGTCCTACATTATCTTCAGTAACCCTCCCATGTCCTACATTAAATTCAGTGACCCTCCCATGTCCTACATTACCTTCAGTAACCTTCCCATGTCCTACATTATCTTCAGAAACCCTCCCATGTCCTACATTATCTTCAGTAACCCTTCCATGTACTACATTAACTTCAATGACCCTCCCGTGTCCTACTTCACCTTCACTAGCCCTCCTATGTCCTGCATTACCTTCAGTAACCCTCCCTTGTCATACAATACCTTCAGTAACCCTCCCATGTCCTACATTATCTTCAGTAACCCTCCCATGTCCTACATTATCTTCAGTAACCCTCCCATGTCCTACATTACCTTCAATAACCCACCCATGTCCTACATTATCTTCAGTAACCCTTCCATGTCCTACATTATCTTCAGTAACCCTCCCATGTCCTACATTATCTTGAGTAACCCTCACATGTCCTACAGTAACTCCCGCGTTAACATCACCCACCTTGAAGAGATACCGCTGAGAGGTATGTCACCACCAGCGACATGGACATGGGCAGGCAAGTCATGCTTCGGCCGCCCACCAAGAACTCGTCGTTGCCCTTGTTGCGACTCTTGATGGCGAAGTAGACGCCCACCAGGAGGGAGAGCAGCAGCATGAGGCTAAACACCCCGTAGTCCAACCAGGAGAGGGTGCCGCCACCCATGGTGCTCCCTACAAGCGTGGCCTCCGTCATGGTGACTGTGTAGTGGTGGTCCTCCTCACCTGCCACAAACATACAGCGTAACGTAACCACAACGGATACTGGTAATGACTGACCTAACCTCGGACACGGTGTGGCGCAGAATGCTAGCGGTAATGCTCTTCTCCTCAGACGTCTTACCTGGGAACTAGAGCTGTGGTGGACTGAACCAAACAACATCTGTCATAAACGGGCTTTACAGTGACAAGACTGATCATTATACCTGTTTTGTTATTTTTATTCAAGTCAACATATCAAGACCACTCGAATACGGGATAATTTTGCAGTCCCGACACACCTTTCTGGACAACGGTACAATCCCGTATACAGTATATAAGGCGCCTGGCAACCCTGAAGATGACGAAATATGCAAGAAAATACTTTTGTTGTTATACCGACCAAGAAAATGTTTAGTCTACTGATGATATATGAATTTAAATTCCTAAGCTTACACGGATTTTTTGATTCCTGAAAAAAAAACGTAACGGATTTGAATTTAGACACATTGAAGGACTTTTCATACACATCAGCAGCGGACAGAGAACACAAGAGGCAGAGGGGGGGAGGGGGTTGTCTTGAAGGTAAAGCAACAAAAGCCCCGCGAGAATAAACATTGCCAGCCTGTATTCAGCTTGAACTGTAAGATAATCGTGAGGGACAGACAGTACAGGAATCTCATCTATGGAAAAGGTGATTACGACTCGGTGACGTTTAAGATGGACATGTTTCTTGATAGAAGAGCTGTGTGTGTGTGTGTGTGTGGATGGGTGATCTAGTAACATACATAAGTCGTTTTGAAATACGTACACAGACATAAACGTACATATATACACAGATGCAGCTACACACACACACGTACTCAATCTCAATCACACATAGTAAAATGCAAACAAACACAGATACACACATGCACTCTCGCTGTGTGTACCATCTACTGTACTGATGCACATGTTGCAGGTTATCGCCTTTCTGGCCGTTCAACTTTCACTAAAGCCCAGATGTTTAGTGTGGAGCCTAACATGTTTATACCTCGTCTTACAACTATGCAGATAAACCCTGATAAATGATGGAAAAATAGCGATAAATCTTGAGAAATGAAGGAAACTAGCGATAAACCTTGACAAATGAAGGAAAAATAGCGATAAACTTTGAGAAATGAAGGGAAAATAGCAATAAACCTTTAGAAATGAAGGGAAAATAGCAATAAACCTTGAGTAATGAAGTAAAAATAGCGATAAACTTTGAGAAATGAAAGAAAAATAGCGATAAACCTTGAGATATGAAGGAAAAATAGCAATAAACCTTCATAAATGAAGGAAAAGTGGCGATAAACCTTGAGATATGAACAAATATCGTTAAACCTTGAGAAATGAACTAACAATTGCGTTACACCTTGAGAAATGAAGGAAAAATAGCGATAAACCTTGAGAAATAAAGGAAAAATAGCGATAAACCTTGAGAAATAAAGGAAAAATAGCGATAAACCTTGAGAAATGAAGGAAAAATAGCAATAAACCTTGAGATATGAAGTAAAAATAGCTATACTAGTATACTGGTTTTGCTGATGTTACTAGTTGTGTTGTTGTTGTTGTGGTTATATATATTGTACTTGTTTTTGTTACCTGGCGTATAATATGTGGAATAAACACGACACAAATATTTCTGTTATTGTGGTTAATGAAAAACTGTGTTTTGGTTTTGGGACAAAGTTTAGGATACTTGTCGTGGCTGAGAGATGGTTCTCTATACGTGCGGCTTAAAGTGAGTTACTCATCAAGTCTGTCGTTCGTGATTGTTCTTGGTCAGGTGATGGTGTCGGAATTCAGAGAGGATATAGTATTGTGGTGGCTTTAGTACAGGGCTTTTTTTTGGGGGGGAGGACTGGTGGTGTTCCCCTGAGAGGAGAGTGAGGATGGGGAAGAGGAGATAAGCAAATTCCAGAAAAGTGGCAGTACAGGTAAGAGGGAGAGAGAATGAGAAGACGGGTGGAGAGAGAGGGAGAGAGAATGAGAAGACGGGGTGAGAGAGAGGAGAGAGAATGAGAACAGGTGTGGGAAAAGAGAGGGGAGAGAGAATGAGAAGATGGGTGAGAGAGAGGGAAAGAGAATGGAAGACAGGTGAGAGAGGGGAGAGAGGCCAGAAGACGGTGAGAGAGAGGAGAGAGAATGAGAAGACGGGGTGAGAGAGAGGGAGAGCGAAGGAGAAGGCAGGGGAGAGAGAGGAGAGCGAATATGAAGACAGGTGGGGAGAGAGAATGAGAAGACAGGTGAGAGAGAGGGGAGAGAATTTAGAAGACAGGTGGAGAGAGAGGGGAGAGAGAATGAGAAGACGGTGAGAGAGAGGAGTAGAGAATGAGAAGATGCAGAGAGAGGGAGAGAGAATGAGAAGATGGGCAAGAGAGAATGAGAAGAGGGAGAAAGAGGAAGAAAAAAAAGAGAAGACGGGTGAGAGAATGAGAAGACAGGTGGGAAGAGAGGAGAGAGTAGGTGAAGACAGTGAGAGAATGAGAAGACAGGGGTGGAGAGAGAGGGGAGACAGAAATTGCAAAGGACGGGAGAGAGAGGAGAGAATGAGAAGACAGGTGAAAAGAGAGGGAGAGAATGAGAAGACTGGTGGAAAGAGAGGGAAAGAGAATGAGAAGACGGGTGAGAGAGAGGGAGAGAGAATGAGAAGACGGGTGAGAGAATGAGAAGACAGGTGAGAGAGAGGGAGAGAGAATGAGAAGACGGGTGAGAGATTGAGAAGACAGGTGAAAGAGAGGAAGAGAGAATGAGAAGACGGGTGAGAGAGAGGGAGAGAGAATGAGAAGACGGGTGAAAGAGAGGGAGAGAGAATGAGAAGACAGGTGAGAGAGAGTGACAGAGAATGATAAGACAGGTGAAAGAGAGGGAGAGAGAATGAGAAGACAGAGGAGAGAGAGAATGAGAAGACAGGAGAGAGAGGGAGAGAAAATAAGAAGACAGGTGGGGAGAGAGAATGGTGAAGACGGGTGAGAGAGGGAGAGAAACAGAAGACAGGTGAGAGAGAGAGGAGAGAGAATTAGAATATTGGGAGGTGGGAGAGAATGAGAAGACAGGTGAGAGAGAGGGAGAGAGAATGAGAAGACTGGTGAAAGAGAGGGAGAGAGAATGAGAAGACGGGTGCGAGAATGAGAAGACAGGTGAGAGAGAGGGAGAGAGAATGAGAAGACGGGTGAGAGAGAGGGAGAGAGAATGAGAAGACAGGTGAAAGAGAGGGAGAGAGAATGAGAAGACAGGTGAAAGAGGGGGAGAGAGAATGAGAAGACAGGTGAGAGAGAGGGAGAGAGAATGAGAAGACGGGTGAAAGAGAGTCTGGGAAAAGGAGAAATACGCAAATATAGCTGCATAAAAGTACAGTTCTAGGTAAATCTTTGGCTTGTGTAAGATATACAATGTTCATAAGTCATCTGGGGGAGGAAATTATCGGGTCTCTTGTGGCATCTACTCAGGGTGGTGGAGAAAACGGAACTATGGAAATTAATATACATTTAATTTAGAGTTTTTCGTCCAAGATAGAGGTATAATTTAATTCGCACACAATTTATAAAAAGCAACTTTCACCAGTTATATAATCAAGTCATATAATTATATGACCCACAGGCAGATGCTAAGGTCGTTGTCGCATGCTCGGTGCGACAGCTAATCTTTTCGTATGCGGCACACACACCACCTCACCACCTCACCGAGCACCACACGACATAATCACCAAGAAACGGAACATTTGGGTAGATGAATTTATTCTTGTTGGATGTACGGTATATTTCCTGTGTGATATGATTACTTCACTGTTATGTCTCTCATTTGATACATCCTCATTAAGGCATCAAGCTCCTGTACTTTGTTTTCAAGAGGACTGTAAAGTAAACTGCCTCCACGACTCTATGACTGCGGTGTGTACTGAAAAGCATTCCTGCTTATGGACGAGCTCAGAGGCTCCATCAGGCCAGGCCCATTAGACAGCCGGATTGTTTTTTAGATACATTAATAGTAACATCTAGATGAAGACAAGACTTTTATGCCACTGTTGTGACACGGGAATCACTGTACCTGTATAATGTGCTGAAATATGTACTATTACTGTATTTCTGGAAAAAGTTGACGAGTGCGGTGCGGACAGGAGAATGAGCGTCACATACCTATGTGGTCGGGGTGCGGAGGCAGACTGACTGCACGCCCGCACCTTCACCAATGAATCCGTCGGTTCTCCAGTGCACTGCACATTCTCCTCTTCCCTACCAGATACTCAGCTCTACTTTCTTCTCACACACTAAGAAAACTTTTCATTTAACCTTCTACTTTTCATAAATAAATGTTTGTCGCTGGTCGAGACAATGATTTGAAGATGTTAAGCCCTGTTTCATGTGCAGTAAAGCACTTGTATTTTGTGTAATGCAATTAATTAGGTTAGTGAGTCACTGTAATCAATAACTTATCTTTTCATGAATTTACAGTAAACTAACTCAGGAAACATTCAAGGTAACAGGCGACGTTGATTATCAGTATCTTGTACAGCCTAACATGACTCACATTATATTATTTGACTAAGGCATAAATGATCGGTTTGACCTACTACGTCGCTCACTGATGGTGGCTAATACACAACAGGAAGTATCAGTCAACAAAACCCGTATTATCAAACCGAGTAAGAAGGGAAGACGCAGTGCTGAACTGCGCGGTATCTTCCCACTAGCAGGATGGTGTAAAATATTGGAACATCACCATCGCTTAGTAGGTATTAGCCAGCTACCAAACAGGGAGGTACTACCGCCTGAGAAGATATTGGAAGCATAATGTATTGCCTAATGGTAGACCCTGCTGCCATATTGCATCACAAAAATTATGACCAACTCCCAGGTTGTTGAACTGACTTTCTGCTTCATTTACACACAATGGCAGGGTCTCAATTGTTTCTCAATTCAATTTCAATATTTATTACTTGATAGAGAAAGCGGGATCCTAGTGCTGTCACTAAAGCCTAAGGAAGGAAGGATATTCCTTTAACACATTATCAATATTATTTACATAATATCTGGCCAGTATGGGGAGGATCATCGTGTCTCCGTCAGGGGGTTGTGGAGTGGTGGTCCAGTAGGCGCCTCGGAAGCGTTGTGTGTGGGGACATCTTAGGAGGTAGCGCATAAGGGTGCGGCTCTCGGGTCTTCTGTATAATGCACAAGAGCGTTGCTCAGAGGATGCGGGGATACCAATATCCCAAGCAAAGTCATACCCAATGATGATACGGGAAGCAATCACGTCCCTTTTCGCGACCCTTTCCCATAGACATACGAGAGGTCAGGAAGTTTACGGAGGACATCGTACCAGGTGGGCGGGGAGTCCACGGGGGTGGCTGCTTCCCGAGCTTCTCTCTGTTTGCGTCTAATTTGGGTCCTTAGCTGTAAAAGTGTTCGAGGAACAACGTAGTCAGGTGTGGCCTTGTTACAGCCAATCTTGGCAAGGCCATCTGCTGCCTCATTCCCCAAGATACCGACATGACTGGGCATCCATAGGCATGTTACAGGACGGCCTGCATCCTGCAGTGTGGATGTTAACCCTCGTGTTCGGAGGATGAGGTCAGTATTTTCCCCTGATTCAAATGCGATCCCGTCAAGAGCAGACCTGGAATCGCAGCAGACAAGCAAGGGGCAGAAACCATCGGCTTCTTCCTCAGCGAGAAGGGCAGCAAGGAGGGCTATCAGTTCAGCCTCAGTGGAGGAGGCCCCGTCAGAAACTCTGAGAGAAAGTTTGATAGGCTCAGGGGCATCAGGACGGGAGATGTAGACACCAGCCCCGGGGTCAACAGAAACATCAGTGAAGATGACGTCCCTACCTGGGGACCAGTGGGCGATCCTGGAGAGGTGGTATTTGCAGAGAATAACAGGGTTCACGTGGGATTTCGGGAGCGGTCCACCGAGAGCAATCACTTCAGGTTGAAAATCCAGCCAGGGAGGAGACAAACTAACAGCAGGGGTGACAACAATATCAGGCAGGAGGTCGTGTTCCTGAAGGGCTCGGATGAGTGACCCTCGCCACTGTCTTCTAGATGGAGGTCGGCCTCGGACAGCAGGAGTCAAGTTGGCTTTTACATGGTTGCCTCTAGCATCCCGTAGAATGGAAACGGTAGTTTTTAGGTAAAACTCCTGTACACGACCCTGTAAGGGTGAAAGACCAAGTTCGGTATATAGAGAAGTAGAGCGTGTCCACTGAGGAGCCCAAAGGATGATACGAGCAGCTTTCCTCCGGATAACTTCGAGACGGTTGACCGCAGTCCGACTAATGTTGACGAGGGCAGGGGAGGCGTAGTCGACACAGGAACGGACAAAGGACTTGTACATGGTGAGAAGTATAGGGGTGGTGGCACCAAGGGAACCCCTGCACATGGTAGAGAGGGGAGCGAGACGCCTAAAGCATATGTCTCGAAGATAGCGGACTTCAGGGATCTGACAACGTTTCCGAGTTACATACACACCCAGGTATTTTGTCTCATTAACCCAGTCCAAGGGCGTTCCTGATAAGAGAAGGGGGGAGGTACAACACGACCGTGCCACATGGTTTTTCTTTTCGCAGTTGAAAGGAGGAAACCAGGTGAATCACACCCTCTGGAGACTAGATCAAAGAGCTTCCTGCATGCGGAGGTAGTCGGGGGCTTGGTGGAGGACATCGTCGGCATATCCTGAATGGACAACTAATGTCGGCCACGGGAGAGATGCAATGGAGTGCATGAGAGTGTTAAGCAGGGTGGGACTCAGGACTCCACCTTGAGGGGTACTGAGGTTCATTTCTTGAACAGGAGATATAGAGCCTTCAGCGCGAACCCGGGCCTAACGTCCAGTGAGGTTGGAGACGATCCATCGAAGAAGTCTCCCTTTAACCCCTAACCGCGCAAGTTCAGCTAAAATGAGGGCAGGCTGAGACGTATCAAAGGCTCCCTTGACATCAAGGAAGACGGAGACGGGGGCAGTGTGATTGCAATCAAAGGAAGCAATGGAGTGTGCTGCGCTGCGATGTTGTATGAAACCATTGAGGGAGTTGTGGAAGCCGCCTATGGTGTGAAGAAGGCGACGATGGAGTATCCTCTCCATCATCTTGCAAACACAAGAGGAAAGACTAATGGGTCCATATTTCCCAGGATCTCCCGTCTTAGGGATGGAGATAATAGTGAATTATAAATGATTTTGAAGACTTAGTTTTGCGTGTTTACTGTAAGAGGTGTGAGGTTATTAAGCTGTTCTCTCAGTGTATCTCCCACGTGGTATTATACCCCTGTATGTTATTCTCTCAGTGTATCTCCCACGTGGATTTATACCCCTGTATGTTCTTCTCTCAGTGTATCTCCCACGTGGTTTATTCCCCTGTATGTTGTTCTCTCAGTGTATCTCCCACGTGGTTTTATACCCCAGTATGTTGTTCTCTCAGTGTATATCTCACGTGGTTTTACACCCCTGTATGTTGTTCTCTCAGTGTATCTCCCACGTGGTTTTATACCCCTGTATGTTGTTCTCTCAGTGTATCTCCCACGTGGTTTTATACCCCTGTATGTTGTTCTCTCAGTGTATCTCTCTACGTGGTTTTATACCCTGTATGTTGTTCTTCAGTATCTCTACGGTTTTATACTCCATGTTGGTCTCCCAGTGTATTCTACGTGGTTTTATACCCTGTATGTTGTCTCTTCAGTGTATCTCTACGTGGTTTTATACCCTGTATGTTGTTCTCTTTAGTATCTCCCACGTGGTTTTATATACCCTGTATGTTGTTCTCTCAGTGTATCTCTCACGTGGTTTTACACCCCTGTATGTTGTTCTCTCAGTGTATCTCTCACGTGGTTTTATACCCCTGTATGTTGTTCTCTCAGTGTATCTCTCACGTGGTTTTATACCCCTGTATGTTGTTCTCTCAGTGTATCTCTCACGTGGTTTTATACCCCTGTATGTTGTTCTCTCAGTGTATCTCTCACGTGGTTTTATACCCCTGTATGTTGTTCTCTTAGTGTATCTCCCACGTGGTTTTATACCCCTGTATGTTGTTCTCTCACTGTATCTCTCACGTGGTTTTATACCCCCGTATGTTGTTCTCTCAGTGTATATCCCACGTGCTTTTATACCCCTGTATGTTGTTCTCTCAGTGTATCTCTCACGTGGTTTTATACCCCTGTATGTTGTTCTCTCAGTGTATCTCCCACGTGGTTTTATACCCCTGTATATTGTTCTCTCAGTGTATCTCTCACGTGGTTTTATACCCCTGTATGTTGTTCTCTCAGTGTATCTCTCACTTGGTTTTACACCCCTGTATGTTGTTCTCTCAGTGTATCTCTCACGTGGTTTTATACCCCTGTATGTTGTTCTCTCAGTGTATCTCTCACGTGGTTTTATACCCCTGTATGTTGTTCTCTCAATGTATCTCTCACGTGGTTTTATACCCCTGTATGTTGTTCTCTCAGTGTATCTGTCACGTGGTTTTATACCCCTGTATGTTGTTCTCTCAGTGTATCTCTCACGTGGTTTTATACCCCTGTATGTTGTTCTCTCAGTGTATCTCTCACGTGGTTTTATACCCCTGTATGTTGTTCTCTCAGTGTATCTCTCACGTGGTTTTATACCCCTGTATGTTGTTCTCTCAGTGTATCTCTCACGTGGTTTATTCCCCTGCATGTTGTTCTCTCAGTGTATCTCCCACGTGGTTTATACCCCTGTATGTTGTTCTCTCAGTTTATCTCTCACGTGGTTTTATACCCCTGCATGTTGTTCTCTCAGTGTATCTCTCACGTGGTTTATTCCCCTGTATGTTGTTCTCTCAGTGTATCTCTCACGTGGTTTATTCCCCTGCATGTTAAAATAAAAGGTTTCTTGTGCTTATAGTACGTGAAATATTTTGTTAGATTTCCTAACAGTATTTATTATAACGAACCCAAATGTTTATCAACTCTCCTGGAGTCATGGGCGCATTTTTCAACAAAATCTTCCGAATCATTGATGATTTCTTCAAGTGTAAAATAATGTAATGAATCTCTGACCTTGACTAAGCCTTAAGATAATGACTTACATTAATTTAAGAGGAATACATTAAAAAAAATCTAAATACCAAAAATGTGAGATAAAGTCAAAGGTAAACAATGAGAAATAAATTAGTGTTCTCTCTCACCTAAGATGATTTAGGTGAGAATGATCTAGTTAATTTAGGTATTGA